AGGGTCCTTAGGCCTGGCCAGCTATCAGAGCTGATCTGTGGGGTGACCAGCGGGGCAATCAGGAGGCCCCTGCTGGCACCTGCCTTGGACAGCCTGGCACTGCCCGCTCACCAGCCCCACCCCCCACCACTGGTCGCCTCCCTCTGCAGGGCGACCAGCGGGGCAAAGGGGTGGGGGGAGCGGGGCCTCTGGCACCTGCCTTGGCTGGCCTGGGGCCTGCAGGCTGGAGGAAGCTCCTGCATTGAGCATCTGCCCCTGGTGGTCAGTGCACATCATAGCGACCAGTCGTTCTGCCTGTCATTCCCCTGTTCAGTCAATAGTAGTACGTATGTCTCCTTTTTTTTTCCCCATTGACCTTCCCCCTGCCTCCCTACATATGTCTCCTTTTTTTTCCCCCATTGACCTTCCCCCTGCCTCCCTACCCCCCCTGATTTTATTATTTTTTAAAATATATTTTATTGATTTCAAAGAGTAAGGGAGAGGGAGAGAGAGATGGAAACATCAATGATGAGAGAGACTCATTGATCGGCTGCCTCCTGCATGCCCCCCCACTGGGGATCGAGCCTGTAACCTGGGCATGTGCCCTGACTGGAAATCGAACCATGACCTCCTGATTTCTAGGTTGAGGCTCAACCACTGAGCCACGCCGGCCGGGAATATATAAGATTCATTAAAAAAAAATTTGTTTTCTTGGAACAAAAATGGTTAAAAACTTGAGTTTTCTAAAGAAACTTGTATGAATATAGAGCTGGGAAGATACACAAAGCTGAAGTATCTGGAATCATTTTGCTGCCTGGAATCATTTTGCAGAAAGATCACCAAGTGCTCAAAAATTCTTTGACCTTTTCAACCAGACAGTTTGTCTTTAACATCTTCATTAACATCCAGTGTTAAGATAGGCATTTCTTGTAGATCAAAGCTGGCTTTCAGCGTTCTATGCAGCAGCCAGCTTCCATGCTTATAGTGAAGCTTCTGTATGAGAGTGAAGGAATCAAACAAGCCTAACTCATTGAGTTTCTCCTATGTGCCAGGTGCTGTCACACTTTAATGAAGGCCACTCAAACCTTACAATTCTCTGAAATAGACATTATTTTTTTCTTTTCATATGAGAAAGTGGGGGCTGAGAGAAGACAAGCAACTTTTCCAAGGCTATACAGAGTGACCTTTCAAAAATGTAAATCAGATCTTGTCACTCCCCTTTGATAGCCTATCATTGCACTTCTAGTAATAGATGAAGAAAGCGGGGCACAGAGAGAATAATTAACTTGTCTGAAGTCCATTTGCAAAGAGCACATTTGAACCCTGGCACTGCCTCCAGAACCTACATGCCTAACCAAGAAAGCCAAACTCCTTACCTTGGCTTACAAAGTCCTGAACACCTGGTTCTTGTCTTCCTCTGTGATCTCTTGTCACACCACTCTCCACAGTCTTACTGGCCTTTCCGTTTTTCCAAGTTGGCAAGCTCATTTCCACCAGGTCTTCACACAAGCCGTTTCCTCTGCAATGCTCCTCTGCTAGTTTTCACAAGATTGACTTTATGTCATTCATTTCAGTTCAGATGTCACTTTATTAGGACACCCCTGACCATCCAATAAAAGGCCACCAAGTCTCTATCACATTACCCTATTTCAATGCTCTGAAGAACTTTTATCATAATGTTCTTGTTTTCTAATTGACATCCCTCCCTGCCCCCGCCAGTAGATTTAAGGGTCAACAGATCAGGAAGCTTGTCTCTTTGGTCACCGCTATGTCCGGAGCCTTGGAAGGAGCCTTACACAGGGTGACGGCTCAATTAATATTAGTTGAATGAATGAATGAATGAATGAATGAATGAATGAATGAATGAATGAATGAATGAATGAATGAATCCAATGAAGGAGACCTTCCACCAATGAGGTAGGCCGGGGGTTGCAAAAGCGCGAGTCACGCAGCGCTCGCGGGGCATTCTGGGGATTGTAGTTCAGGCTCGGCCTGCGGTGGCGCGGTCCTGCGCACAGAGCGCTATCTATGCTCCCAGGAGTCAGAGCGGCCTGGTTGTTGCTATGGTTTCTAAATCCCGCAGCCGGAGGAAGGCTGCCCAGCTAGGCGCCCGCTAGCTTCCGCTAGAACGCGGACCGGGAAACGGAAAGAATCCCTCGAGGTGCGTCCGGGGAGCCCGGGGGCGGAGCCGGAGGGGAGGGTATACGGAACCGTGGAGGGCCGTGGGGAGCAGCGGAAGCAGCGTCTTACCGATTTGCGGAGCGTAGCTCCTCTCCAGTCCACTCCCACGGCTCTGTGAGTAAAGGCTCTTCACCATCCCCATTAACCAGCGAGCTAACTGGCTTGAAGCTAAGTGGCTTGGAGAGGTCTCCCTTCCGGAAAGCGGCAGAGCCCGTCCTAGAGCCCATGCCTGACAGTAGTCACTGTGCAGCCCGGGCGTGTGTGCTCGGGCGCATGCTCCTGGCGAAGCTGGTGGGATCCTAGGCCCTTGCCGCCCAGCTCCAAGCCTACCTCCTCTGCGGCGTGGGCTGGCTTGCCGCACAGTGCCACCCTGTTCAGCCCTGTCGGGATCCTGAGCGAGGTCTTAAGTTCCACCACCTTCCACTCAGAGTCTGAATGTAAGGATAAGGAAGGCAAAGTTACATTAATAAAATATCAGGGCATGTTGAAAGCAAGGGCAAGCCCATTCAATGTGGTGAGATTCTGTTAGCCTCATTTAGCCTATGGTTTAATAGATGTGGAAACAGCCCTAGCCGGTTTGGCTCAGTCCATAGAGCGTTGGCCTGCGGACTGAAGGGTCCCAGGTTCCATTCCAGTCAAGGGCACGTGCCTGGGTTGTGGGCTCGACCCCCAATAGGGGGCGTGCAGGAGGCAACCAATCAATGATTCTCATTGATGTTTCTATCTCTCCCTCTCCCTTCCTCTCGGAAATCAATAAAAAAATATATATATTTAATATATTTTATTGATTTTTTACAGAGAGGAAGGGAGGAGGGATAGAGAGTTAGAAACATCGATCAGTTGCCTCCTGCACACTCCCCACTGGGGATGTGCCCGCAACCAAGGTACATGCCCTTGACTGAAATCGAACCTGGGACCCTTCAGTCCACAGGCCGACGCTCTATCCACTTAGCCGGACCAGTTAGGGCTATAAAAATATATTTAAAAAAAAATAAAAGATCAATGGAAAAATAGCCTTGGGTGAGGATTAGCAACAGCAACAAAAAAATAGATGTGGAAACAGGTGTTCAGAGACATTAAGTAGCAGCCCTTGCTTTACAGAGTTTGTGGGTGGAGTGGAGATCCCAACCCAGGTTTCGCTGCCTTCAAAACCTATGGCTTTATATGCTACCTTTTTAAAATTAATGAGCCAAATTTCTACTTACATGGCGGCTGCATTGTGTAGACCTGAGAACCTCTTAGAAATGCACATTCTTGGGCCCCACCTCAGACCCTCTGAGCTAGAAATTGGGAGTGGGGCCCAGGATTATGTTTGAGTAAGTCCTCCAGGTGATTCTGATGTTTGAGAACTATTGATGATTTCACCCAGGGTTCATGTTCAAATGCATGTCAGAAGGTCTTGGGAGAGACTGGAGATTCTGCATTTCTAACAACTGTCTGGGTAATGCTGAAACTGCGGGTCCAGGGACCGTACTTTGAATATAGCAAGAGTATAAACTGCATCTTAGAGCAGTGGTTTTTAAACGTGGGTGCACATTAGAATTACCTGGGGAGCTTTTAAAAGATAGGATACCAGTGTCCCACCCCTGACCAAATGAATCAGAACCTCTGGGGTGTAGCGGCCAGGTAAAAACGCACTGGGTGAGTCTAAGCTATGGTGAGGGTTCAGAACCCCTGGTGTGTTTTGGAATAGGGTAGCTATGGATTTGAATCCTAGCACCTCCATTTATCAACTGTTTGACCTTGGGTGAGTGACTTAACCTCTCCTGGCCACATTTTCCTTGTTTATAAAATGAATATAAGTAATCCTTGGCTTGCAAGGTGGTGAGAGGATTCTCTGCGGTGTGTACATGAAGCACCTGGCTCATAAGGGTGCTCTAGACTCACAAATTGGGGAGGTGGGCAAACTTGGGGAAATCTGTGCTGGGGATTTTATACTATATATAACCTGATGGAGGGGAGTTGGCAGCTGCACCCCCCTAGCCTGCTAAAGCTCCCATCTGTGTGCTCCTCCCTCAAGCAGCCAGCAGTGTGGGAAAATGGCAGTGAGCCACTCGATGAAGGAACGGACAATCTCCGAGAACAGCCTGATCATCCTGCTGCAGGGCCTCCAGGGCCAGGTGACCACTGTGGACCTGCGGGATGAGAGCGTGGCCCACGGACGCATAGACAATGTTGATGCTTTCATGAACATCCGCCTAGCCAACGTCACCTACACGGACCGTTACGGGCGTCAGGCTGAGCTGGATGACCTCTTTGTAACAGGCCGTAACGTCCGTTATGTCCACATCCCAGATGACGTGAACATCACCGAGACCATTGAGCGGCAGCTGCAGATCATCCATCGTGTGCGCAACTTTGGTAGCCTGGGGCAAGGCCGGCGGGAATTTCCCACCAAAAAGCATAAATGAGCCTGTCCCTTCGGCAAGCCCTAGTCACCACTCAGGTTCCTCCAGAGTTCTACTGAGCCAACTGCCTGCCATCCATCCCTGCCCAGAACCTGGGAAGGGAGCAGGGCCAGCCCAGAAACTGGTATCTGGCAGACAACACCTATCACAGCTGCCTTTCACAGGGTTACACCTCCCAGACTCACCCTGGGATCCACAATCCTGTTTGTCTGTGGCCTTGGGGTAGATGATAATACCCCCTTTTGACCATTTGCATCTGAGTCGATGATTTACTGATTCAGGGAATCTGTCCAATTGTTTTTAACCCTCTCCCAGTGAGGATTATTAAATGTGCTCAACCTCGGCCACCCTAAGTGTCCCCAGTTTTCTTGCAATTGTGTCTTTTTTCTTATAAAATTAAACTTAGACAAAAACAAGTGTGTGCCTCATGCATTTCCTGATGTGTATGGGCTCCCTGTTGGTCCTGTGTCCTAGGGTGCTGGGTCTCAAACTTGGCTGCACATTGGAATCACCTGTCCCACCTTCATCTATTCGGATTTCACTGGTATCGGGTATGGCCTGGGCATTGGATTTTTGTAAGTTTCTCACACAGTACTAATAATCAGCAAAGTCTGAGAATTGTGATAGGAGAGTCCCTCAGTCTGGTTAGATAGAAAGTGGCTTTTCTGTTCAGATTCCCTGCTGAGGGGGCTGTTAGTCTCATTGCTGTTTCCTGAGGTGGAGAAGTTGGAGTAATCCTGGGCCCTCCCCTCATGTGTGGGAACTCATCCCACAACAGCACAAAATCAGGCTCCAATTCTGGGAGTCTCTGGGTCTTCAGGAAAGAAGGGGTTCTGGAAATTAGAAGCCAAGTCTTTGTTGTCACTGCTTTGCAACCATACCAGCCCTCCCACAGGCAAACAACCATCTCAGTAAAAGCAGCTCTGTCCTGTGGCACTAGAGCAGTGGTTCTCAACCTTGGCTGCACATTAGAACCACCTGGGAATCTTTTTAAACTCCTGAGGCCCAGAAATCAGGACTTTAAAAAGATTCCCAGGTGATTCTAATGTGCAGCCAAGATTGAGAACCACTGCACTAGAGAGTTTGTTCATCAAACAAACCTCAACACAGCTGCTGTGGGCCAGGTCTTATGCTGAGCACACATTGACAGTAAGATGTGGTCCTTTCAGGAGAGGGGTTTATAATCTAACTAGAGGCCCAGTGCACGGATTCGTGCACTGGTAGGGTCCCTCAGCCTGACCTGTGACCTCTCGCAATCTGGGACCCCTCGGGGGATGTCAGAGGCCGGGTGCACAGATTCGGCCCAATCCCCACAGGCCAGGTCGAGGGACCCCACTGGTGCACAAATCTGAGATTCATCAGTCTGTTCGATGTTTCCATGCCTGTGCGTTGAATGTCTGCCCCTTGGTGGTCAGTGCGTGTCATAGCTACCAGTCGAATGGTCGCTTAGGCTTTTATATATGTAGATGGAAGAGGTGGTCAAGAACCACAAAACTGAAATCCAGTCTGAGTTGAGTAAGGCAGGGCCCTTCACCTTAAAATGCTGTTATTTCTTGAGGGAGATTTGATAGGAGTGTTCATTTGGGCACTAGCAGCCCAAGGTCATTGCATCCCATTCCAGCACAGTCTTTGTCAAAGTGTTGTCCTTGGACTACCTCATCAGAACCACACACACACACACACACACACACACACACACCACTACCACCACTTTTCTTGGAATTGGTTGAATTCTAGGGCACTTCCTTTTAAGATGCCAACGCATGGGAAAGGTAGTCTGATATGGTGGTCACCCCGTCACACTAGCATCCACTGAGATGGCCCATGTTGTTCTGGCCTTTTGTTTTCAATGCACTCAGGTTGCATAGGTCCACAAGGGTTCTGTTCTGGTGTTTTGTCATCAGCCCACTCAGGTTGCTGTAGAGTTGCTTCTCCCTGACCAAATGACCTCCTGACTGGCCCTTCAAGTGTAACCCATCCCCCTCTCAATGTTCAGATTTTTATCCTACTTTTCCCAGGCCAGCCAGGCCTAAATTCTTTTTTTTTTTTTTTTAATTGATTAAGGTATTACATATGTGTCCTTACCCGCTCCATTGCTCCCCACCCCCAGGCCTAAATTCTTAAGGCTTGGGTTAGTTAGGCCCTGTGTGCCCAAATGCAACATACAGCTGTTCCTTCAGAGGGTTTTGTTACTTCTTGGCACTCCACCAGGAAAAGGGGCACAACTTTTCCTGCTTTCCAGTCCCTGAGACCTAGCTGATCCCCTCCAGCTACCCGGCTGAGGAGAATCTTTATTCTCAGGCTCTGCTGCCCCCAAGTCAGTCTCCCAGATCCCCTGTTACACAGTTTTCTAAATTTGTATCTGCTCAGAAATTCTTCCCATTCCTCCCTGAAGGCTAGGCCTTTAGAATTCAGAAGCTAAAAATGAACTCTGCATTCTGTTGTATCAGTTGTTTCCTGACGTAAGGAATGCAGATTAACCTAACTATCTGCTTAAAGGCAAGGCCCAGGGACACCAAGGAAAAGATAAAAGGCATATTTCAAATGTCATCACCCCATCGGAGTTTGGGTTTTGTGCGAGTCATGTAGCCTTTGTGCAAGCCCACATGTACATCAATGTGGGGGTCCTCACTGATGACAGCCCTCGGGGGAATTCTGAGAGTTCAGGTGGTACAGCATGTCCCCTCCTTCTCCTCCTGTTCCTGGAGAGAAGAGGACAGGGGTCTCTCTCTCATTGGCGGGGGACTATTACCATGGTTCAGAGGAGAGCTGGGTGGGCAGGCAGCTTGATTCACATCTCCCTGATACAACAGCTCCAGCTCTTGGCTGGAGGGGACTTGAAGGAGAACATCCAGTTCCATGAGTTCCAGTCTGGCATCCCTGGCTGAAGGATCCTGAGGGCAGTAGGGGTCCCTTGAATTCTTGTCAATGTTCCAGAGGGACCCAGAGAAACAGTACAGAGTAAGTGAAAGGTAACCGAGCTAGCTTGGTCTCTGCTTTGGGCTGGAATTACACCAACAATATGGTGGTCACCTGGCTTGCTCCTCATGACCACAAGCTCTAATGGCTTTGATACGAGGCTTTAATTAATAAAAAGGGAGAAATGACTTGCTGCAGGTTGTACAGGAGACAAAATCTTGCCAAAAGTGAGGCTCTTGCGGAGAGAAAATACTAAAAGAAGCTTTGAAGTGAGAAGGTTGGAAACCACTGATCCTGTCTGACTCTGTCATTTTTGTGTGTGTGTGATAGATGCTCAATATAGCTTTACTTTGTGTATTTTCTCAACCTAAACTTTAACAGTACCCAGGAACAAGTACTACAGAAGGAAACAGCTTTAAAAGATTAACTGCATGCCCAGCCAGTATAGCTCAGTTGTTACTAGTAAGCATCGACCCATGAACTGGAAGTCACGGTTTGATTCTCAGTCAGGGCACACGCCTGTGTTTCGGGCTTGATCCCCAGTGTGTGCAGGAGGCAGCCCATCAATATGTCTCCTCTCCCTTCCTCTCTGAAATCAACAAAATATATATTTATTTTTTTAAAAGAATGAGACTGATTGTTGTTGTACTTTGAACCTAGCAAATGCAGTTATTTTTGTTTTAATATGTTATTTTAATTGATTTCAGAGAGAAGAAGGGAGAGGGAGAGAGGGATAGAAACATCAATAATGAGAATCATGGATCAGCTGCCTCCTGCACGCCCCCTACTGGGGATCGAGCCAGCAACCCCAGCATGTGCCCTGACTGGGAATCAAACCATGACCTCCTGGTTCATAGGTCGATGCTCAACCACTGAGCCACACCAGCTGGGCCATTCACATTCTTGAGACTCCACTGTGTTAACTCTGACACTGTTACCCACAGTTGCAGGTAGGAACCTCACCTTTGTATTTCCTGTGGGTAACCCTGTCATTTTATAGTTGAAGAAACAGGCCTAGTTTCCTCAGGGGAAGGGACTCTCCTCAGGTCCCATGATTAAGTTAATGGCAGAATGCCAAGATGATCAACAGAAGTAGCTATGGATTGTTGAGTCTCACTGTGTGCCAGGCCCTGTGCCAGGGCCCTACGTGCTACGGGAGAGCAGAGCTGTATGTAGTCTGTTTGGTTCCACTGGATCACCAGTATCTGGCTCAGTGCTTTGCACCTAGCAGGCCCCCCATAAATCTTTGTGGAATGAAAGAATTATCTCATTTCATCATTATAACAACCCTGGAGGTATATATTAATAACCCCATTTTACAGATGAGAAAACAGACCCAGAGAGGTTAAGTGACTTGCTCAAAGTCGAAAAGCTAGTGAATAGCAAAGTGGGATTTGAACTCAGGTCTGTATGATTCCAACTCCATGATACTACACTACATTATTCTGCTCCCAGCACTCCTGACATCACACTGATGACAGAGTAAGATAAGCAGTGCCCTGCTCATCTCAGTGCTGGTTCCCAGTCACCAGGTGTGGGCCTGGCACTCAAAACTTGCCATACCCAGGCCTTGGGGCTTGGCCACAAAGAGAAGCCAGAAGACAGCCAGTAAGAAGGATTTGCTGGGTTTAAGAAGGCTGAGTAAGCTCATCAGGGTTGAAGGTCTCCTCCTCTCCTTCTGTGATAGGCCTGCCTATGCCTCATCAAGCAACCATCTCATGCTATTGTCATAGGCGTCATTTTGTTTTGGCAGCATTGTCTGCCAGTATGCCCAGAGTTGGAGAGCCAGCAGGAGAGTATGTCACCGTGTGTGTGTGTGTGTGTGTGTGTGTGTGTGTGTGTGTGTGTGACACAGCAGTCTCATATTGATGTCCTTTCATTTCCTCTGGCTGGCACCTTTAGTTTCTATTCATTACCTCTTCTCCTCCCCCACTTTCTCTCCCTCCTTCTCTCCTTTGTTAAAATCCTATATTTTGAATCAGCTGGAAGTCTCCTGGGGGTAAAGGGGGGTGGTGTCAGCTCCTAGTGATTCATCTAGCTGATAATTAGAGCTCTGGAAAACCCAAAACTCATTCCTGTCAGAGTCAGGGCTTCCGGAATCCCTAGGCTTTTCCCTTTGTCAGAGAGGAAATCTTTGGGGGCAGGGGCTGACTTCTTTGTGCCTGACTTTGTCATCCACTTCATCAGAGCTCTGTAACTGAGGTGCGTGTAAAGCAGTCTTACTCGCCAGGTCCTGTGAGAAGCCGTTTCCACACACTGAATGCTCACAGTGATCCCATGAAGTGTTATCCCTATTTTGACAGGTGGCGAAGGTTGAGGAACTTACACTCATCAGTCAGCTTGTAAGGAGTGAAGTAAGGATTCAAATCCAGTCTTTTCACCATCTGCCAGAGTTGGTTCAGATCACAGCCCTGCCATTATAAGCTGTGTGTCTTTGAACAGCTTATTTCCCATCTCAGAGATCTAGATTCTTCATCTGTAAATA